CTGACTTCTTCTGGTTAAGGGTTTAGTTTAGCATAAAAAAGAGATTCTTTTGGGCAGTTTTTTTTTTCCAAAACAGAAAGAATTTCCCCAGATGATCACACTTGATCTTTATGTTCTCTTCCGTTCCATAGCCATCCGTCCTCACTTCATCAGCCTAAGCTGTCTTTTGTCACTAGCTTGAAGACTTTTTCTTGCTTTTTTCAGGGATTTTGCGATATCCCCGAAATCAGCAAGATGTATTCTTCCTGTTCACCGTCTCTTTGGGACAGTTTAGGTCCGATTGAACGCCCCCAGTGGCAAAAGTGCCGGCTGCAGTCTCAGAGCATCGAGACCACACATCCGTGCCGTGGGGACATTGGCTCCTTCCCCTTACTTGTATTTTTTTAATTCCTTGCATAATCATCTGCAATGTCTCTTCCTTTTCTTTTTCCTACTGCAACATCGTCTGTATTGATCTTTGTCCTCCAGATGGTGAAGAAGAAGTTGGTATTGAAGAGCCAATGGCCGTTATCTTTTTACTCATTTCCAAACAATTAGTATACTATATGTTAGCTGAAAAATACAAGGTCTTCAGGTTCTTCTATACCTTAATCCTCTTATATGAAGGGTAAATATAATCCCAAATAACAAAAAAGAGAAAAAGAAAAGGGGAAAAAAGAGGGGGGAACCTTCAGGCTCTTATATGCCTTAGTCCAATTGTATATATGTGTGTGTGTATATACATATACATATACACATACACACACAAACACACACACACACATATATATAATGTGTGTGTGTGTGTATCCAAAAGAAAGCAGAAAAAAGAAGAAGAAAAATACACATTCTTTAAAAGAGAGAGAAGAGAGAGAAAAAAACAGGCTTCTTCTCCAAAAGGCCTCAATCCAATTAAGAATAGCTAGGTGAGAGGTAAAGTAGAGAAGTAACACTAAAAAGAAAAAAAAGAGTAAAGGAAAAAAAATAAAACAAGCTTCCTGTGGAGGAGAAAAGAAAAAAAGAAAAACACTGCCACTATATAGAATCCAAGGCTCTTTTGTAAAGTTCCAAACAAAGTTAACAATTCTTTTTCCAAGGTCGCTGCAATCTT